TCGATTGTGATTGCCAAAGAAAAGATTCTTCATATTCGAATTGATCAACAATGTTGTGTATGATCAGCCGAATTGATTTGATAGCTTTTCCGGTTCGAGGGTTTGATCTGACTTAATCATACTCGTTGCAGGTCTCTGGTCCATACACCGATAAGATGAAAATATGAATCGAATGCAATAGTGGACTGCAAGTGCGTAGTGTGCAGTATATAAAGCTATAGATAAATTGACTAACTTAGTCGCGCAACAGCACGTGTTCATTCCCAAACAAAACCAAAATCGCCGAAATTTGGTTACAGTAAATTTAATTTAAAAAATGGTAGAAATCGAATAAATTCGAGTCCAAAGAGATATTTACGTCACATCCATTAAAAATTGATATCTAAGAATTAAATCGAAGTCACTTAAATCAGGTTCCTTTTATTCAATAAAATCATATGCATATTGAACTATACGCATTAAGTTATTGTATTGTAATTTGATCGCGAATACATCAGCGGTATATTGAAGATATTCAGGAACTTCTTCATCAAAAAAATCTTTCACTATAGTATAGTAAAATCAACCAATCAACAAAAAGGTTATGATGGCGGCAAACATTTATGACTTTCACAGCTTTTTTTGGTGCCTATGAAAATTTTGTTTGCAGACATTTAAAGCAGCTAAGAGCTCCTACTCTCGCAACGATTTTTCTTGCCTTAAAAAGTGTTGTAAATTGAACCCGTGTTGTGATGTCCAGCGTTTGCCTCACGACCTCTTAAGTAAATGTGGCTCCAAGCCATATCGTGAATCTCCTAATAGCCAAGATCTATAGTTTCCGCCCGCATACTTAGATAAAATATATGTTTGGCACCATTTAAAGAAAAGATGAACGCGTCTTAACTGGAGCCAGGGTAGTATGCATCTACAGCCATTATACGCAGTCTGTAATCATAAATCTGTTAATGAACTGAATTAATATTAGCAACGAATTTTAAATTTGTAACTACAATCATGACATAATTTTTACAATTATAAATGTTCAATTCTGTCAACTCTTGGAAAAACCATCTGTAAATAAAAACTAAAGTATATATATTTTCTTTAAAGAAATTAAAGGTATTCAAAGTCCAAAATTCACAATGTAGACAACTGCTTTTGATTAGTTGGTTGATTCGATAATGTGCACAATTGTCTGCGGTAGGTAGACCACACTGTCTCATATAGTAAAAATTGGTATTCTGTTGTCGAATGGCTCGCGCTACTAGAGATGCATAAGGGAAGGAGAGGGAGTAGTCGAGGTAGGCTGATACATAACAAGTAAGGAAGACCTAAGTCCGGGTGTAACCGAACATTTTATATTCGCATTTTGTAGGAAAAATATCTTCAGGTGTTGCTAAACTTAATATTAAACATTTATTAACAATTACTGCCCGAAAACGTGAAGATTTGGTATCTCATTCACGTATATTATAGGCATTAGCTACTTTTTAGTTTCATTACTATATTTTTCTTCGTGTATTAATAAAATTAAAATGATCATCAAATATGTAATAATGGCTCAACCAAAAGAAGCTATATTATTTAATATAGTGGGTATACCAGAAAAAGTCAGTCATTGGTATTAAGCTTCACATATTCGTTATTTGTGGTTTGATAAGTTATGACCCGATTTCGACCATTTTTATACGTAATACGTCATACCCAGGTCGCTTTTGTGCAAAGCTTTTTTCCTTCATTGGTGTTTGATTTGTATACATCAAAGAGAAAGAATCATATGAAATGTAAAATTTTGGTCATATGGGAAGTAAGAGTGGTTGTATTTCGATTTCGCGTCAGGAAAGCGTTATGTAGTTATTTGGTTGAAATAGGTCGAGTAGTTCCCAAGATACATGATTTCGCGTGAAGGCCGGCAGTGGCATGACCATTGCCAAGTTTTTTTTTTTAATTATTAATTTGGAATGTAAAAATAAATGCTTCTGGCGTACTTACTTAGTTAGTTATCGTGCATTAAGAAGTTTTTAACATAATCGTTATGTGGGTGTGGGCATGGTTACTATCCGATTACATCCATTTTCACACAGTCTGAGGAGGTACTAAAAGGAGTCGCACTCAACAAGTTTGGTTGATATACACTTATGGACAAAATAATAGGTGCACACAGTTATTGTTTTATAACTTTGAAGTATTTGCAATTAAAACAATTTTGTTTTAGACGTATTTACACTTTACTTTATTAAACATAAATACACTCAGAAAAAAAAAACCCGCGCAGTCGAAAATTTTCAACTATTCCATTTTTAAACTTACTATTCGCTCAAAATACGCTATTTGTCTAGTTTGACTTTTTTATTATGTGACTACATTAATTTACCGTTATTACTGAAACCGTTAGTTTATGCAAGCGTTTATTTCAGTACTTGCTGTAATTTCTTTTGAGTCAGTTGTAAAAATAAGCAAAGTTAAACATGGTGTTGTCAATAGAGAAGAAAGCAGAAATCATAGCTTTATATAAAAATAAAGTATCCAAACGTCAAATAACTCGTAAAATTGACATAAGTGATTGGAGTGTGCGCAATATTATTAAAAATTATACGAATTTTAATTCTTTAAATCGAAAAAAAGGCAGTGGGCGTCCGAAATAAGTAAAACCTCGACATGAACGACAAATTAAACAGATGTGCATTACTGGTCGCTTTCAACATGCTGGAAAAATCAATTCAATATTTTATTAAACTACTGGGGTAAAAATAACTACATGTTCTATGCAAAATGTCTTGAATAATCTTGGATTACGAGCGCGACATCTAGCTAAAACGCCACTTCTTATTACCCGAATGAACAGCGGCTAGAGTAGGCAAAATCACACAAATGTTGGACTGCATCAGACTGGGGAAATGTAATTTTTTCCGATGAATCCAAAATTATATAATTGTAGAAAATGAGAGCGTTTTTTAGAAAGCTGTGTTTTACCCACCATAAGCATTCGCCCTATTTAATGGTATGGAGGCCAATACCCAAGTTTGGTGTTGGGCAGTTTTTTATTCTTAAAGGATCTGTGAATGCAGAAAAATACATTGAAATTTTGAAAGAAAGAGTTTTGCCAACTATTGAACAGCTGTTCGAACACACTCAGGATGATTCAGCCCGTAGCCATAGAGCCAGTACGGTAACTAAGGCATAAAAATATTGAAATAGATTTTTCCATAATTCATTATAAACACTTACAGGTTACAAGCAGCCAAAAAAATTTTTATGGAATTGAGTTTCTCACGTGGCCAGGAAACAGTCCAGATCTCAATCCAATTAAGAACTGCTAGCATTATATGGTCAAAAGGATAAGAGAGAAGCGTCGAAAAAGTCTCAAAAAAATGGAACAAATTATTGAAGCTGTTTGGAGTGAAGATATTAATAAAAATTATCTTGAACGCTTGTTTAAATCCATGCCTAAACGAAAAGTCGAGGGTATTAGGAGGAGGGGGTGTCTACAAAATACTAAGGATTTTTTGTAACAAATAATTTCATTTTGCTTTGTTATGTATTCAATTTTTAAATACAAAACATATAAAACGTAAAATATGTAAATAACTTTTTTCAAAATTGTATTATTATTCATAATTGTTTGTGATGTGTGTGTGCTTGCATTTTTCACTAAAACAAGTGTTAAGCTATAAGTTTATTATATAAAAATGCTTTAAACATGAAGTGAATAATACTCAAAAAAAAACTGTCTAACTTAAGATAACATAAAGGTTTTACGCTATATATAGCCGAATTTTTGGCAGGTTTCTAATGGGGTAGTATCCCAAAGTTCTTTTGCTTTCCGCCACAATTGCTCCTTATTTTGGAAAGAAAAGGCTGCCAATCTCCTCTTAAGGTCACTTTACAAGTTCTCAATCAGGTTGAGATGAGAGGATTGACTAGGCCATTGCATACAGGTAATATTTGCATCCCTGAACCACTCAGATATCAATCTTGATGTATGTTTTGAATAGTTATCTTGTTGATAACTCCATCTCAACTGCATATTTTCTTCAGCAGATGGTAGCAACACGTTTTGAAAAATGTCTCTGTACTCAATGGCGGTCATTGTGTCCTTTATCCAAAATAACGGACCAACGCTTTGCCAGGAAACAACATTATGTTCCGCCTATTATGTTCCGACTTTTAGGTGAATACCCATATCTTGGGATCTGCTTAACCGATTTCAACCAAATTTGGTACATAACATTCTTTTTATATATCTATGTTATGTGCAAAAATCGGATTACAACCACGCCTATTTTCTATATGACACCATTTTAAATTCCACTTGATTTTTTCACTTCCACTATGCAAATCAAGCAACAATGATTATATCGGGGTAAAACTTTGCGTGAATAATACGTTTAAAGTATGCCACCTTGTGACCAAAAATTGTCTAAATCGAACCAAAACTGTTCAAGCCCCTAAGTACTAAATATGTGGACTCCAGTGCCTATAGTTGACCTTCTACCCAAAATATCAGTCAATCCACAAAGAAATCTCAAACGAGTACACCATTTCAAGTATAAAATGTTCGGTTACATCCGAACTTAGCCCTTCCTTACTTGTTTTTGTTTCTGTTTGGTCAACGACTAGACGATAGAACGTACCATCAATGATAGATAAAGAGGTTTAGCAGATTAAAGTTCCGCACTTCAGCTTTCGATGCTTTGCCCTACCTAAAAAAAAAAAGACAAAGAGGTGTAGTTGATTTCGCAGGAACGAAACCCTTGGTTAATCATCTTTCTTCGTTTCCTCATACTTAGTGTAGTTTTTTTCAGACGCAGTTCTGTCGTTTTCTGTGTCTTAATCTGCGAACGTACATTAGTTTCTTATTCCTTGATATTATTATAGCAAGTAAAAAAAAGTATTAAAAATAAAATATTTATATTGGAATCAGGGAATCTCATAAATAAAAATAGGTACTACCCACTGATATGTTTATATTTTCTGTATTCATAATTTTTATTGAATTTTAATTGTTTAATTTTTTTTAGCAATACAGTTTGTGCTGAGTGATGAGTTTACTCACCTGCGTCCTGAACAAAGGCAGGCGCTTTTGCATGAAGGAACAGGCGCTAGGGTTATTTCGGCTTACGTTGAGATAATTTTCGATAATAGCGATAATCGAGTTCCAGTAAGTATACAAAATTTTCAGACTATTTTGAAATGGTATAATAAAATTTAACCTGCGTTTTTATTTATGTATTCCTTGCATGATATATTGGTACGTTTATTTTTTATTCTTTCAGAATTCGGTTAGCAAATATAATTGAAATACAATTTCTCTTATATATATTATAATATAATATTTTAAATTTTTTAATGTAAAATACATTTTATTTTCCACTTTTACTTTAGGGCACTTCACGGACAAACTGCGCTGCTACGTTTTCGCTTTACGAACGGGTGTCGAGATACAAAAAGAAGGGGCCATTCTGGTCTGAACAATCCTTTTTGTTTATTTGGGTGGGGAAAAAGACAGTGATTGAAGTGTCGGTGTATGGTGTGGTTGGTTAGTTGTAAATAGTTGTGTTGGTAGGTGATATGGTGTGTTGTAGGTGGTGTATGATATTGCATTGTGTTATGTTGTGTTGTATGATGTTGTACGGTAGGTTGTGTGCTTAGTTGAAAAATGTCGCGGGATCAGAAGTCGCATGAACTGTATGTAAGTTGATGTCACTGATTTTGGCTGGAATAAAAAAAATTGTGTTACGAGCTTGATTCACATTTTATTAAATAAAACTTCGAAATTGTCTTATTAACCCTTTTAGTGCCGGGATCCGATATATCGGCTCCGGCTGTACTTGCGAAAAGTGCCAGAGCCGATCTATCGGCTCGCGCCTTGTAGCGGTTTACTACTCGCATTGCGGGAGAACTCTTATTTCAAAATAAATTTGTAATGCGTTATAAATGATCTAATTTTATTACAAGATAATTAAAAAAATATATTTTTTTGTTTGAACTCTTTGTGAACGAAGTTTTGCCTATCGCTTGAAGGTACCGAAACCTAACATAAACACCGTACCTTCACGTTATGTTTTGTTTTTGTTATGTAATATTGTTTTTCTTGTTACAAAATATATATTGGAAATACAAAGTATATACTTTATAATAGTTGACCCATATAAAATTATGATGAAAAGATGACTGTTTGTATGTGCAAATACGTTTTCTACACGAGATCTCAAATTCATTTCATTTACAAACGTTTTTACCTTTGTTTTTTCTATAATTTTCAAATTAGTTCGGAACAGCTTTTTGAATCAAGCAAACATTGTTTCTCGTTTGGATTTTACAAGCATTTTTCTGAACATTTGTAAAACTGTGCAATTCCGCTGGTTTTTTCGCATAGGCACCTCTATTTCGCCCGGCACTAAAAGGGTTAAGTATAGGAGCTAGACAAAATACTGAACCGATTTCTCAGTTATTAATACTGAAGTAAATTTTGTTTGTTCAATTTTGGGCCCGACAGATTTTGGGCATGATAAAACATTAAGTGGATTATCATTAAGATGTATCATATATTGACCGATATACAATATATGGTATACATTTCAATTAACTGATCAAAGTTAGTTTCTTTATAGTAGTGAAGATAATTTCCCAAAGATAAGCGGCAATTTTATGATATGAAATGAGTTTTCCCTACGTGGAAAGATAAAATTATGTTTTATTGCCATGAAAATTTATTAAAAAATAAAAAAACCTTAAAATTTACTTATTTTTCAACAAAACAACAAAAGGAGGTAAACTCAACAATTTTGCAAAAATGGCTGGAAGATAACTAATTGATTTAGTTACTAGGATATGTCACATAATCAATAAAAAATGAAGTTGTAACTCTCTAACACATTTTTTGTCCAAATTTTGTTTACGATTTTGCGTTGAAGCATGGTTTAAAATATGAATATAAAATCAATTAGAAAGCGAAATTTCGTATTTACCACTAAATTTCAGGTTTATTTAAAAACATACGCTTCTTCCATTTGCCAATTAACATTAAGGTGAACTCATAAATGGGAAATAATCTATTGAAATTATTTCATTTTTTATCTTAATGATATTGTAAGGCAATATCAAACTCATCTTTTATGACTTAATCAGTCTTAACTTCCTCTGTTAATTAATTAGGATGATGATTTACATATGCTTTGTTATTCTAAGTTCAATCCTTATGTGTTCATGGTCTATATTTTTCCTGTTTAAAACTTTAAAAAGATAGCGACAGATGTACTCATTTTATTTAATTTTCAAAAAATCAGATTTGACAGTTATTATTAATTAGCAACCAAAAAAACTTAATTTTTTGTTACAGTGCTACGTAAATTTTACTGCACATAGTATAAATCTTTCCATTTAATAGTAAAATGTTAAATTATCTGCTGTTCGTAGGGTTGAATACAAAAAGATAAGTGCGTTCTCAACCACTTCAATGCCAAAATCAATGCTAACATTAACAATTTACTACAACTATATCATCATCGTCACAATGAGCTATGGTGTAGACACTATACATCAGAACCGCCTTCATGTCGTTTACGCCAATAATTCCAGTCTTTATTACAATATTTTAGTTTTAGCCAGGGTGCTAGAAATCAAAATTTTGAATTGTGTGTGTTAGAATAATGTTTTTAGTCTAAGTTTTTTATGAAGTTGGGATGAAACGATTTCTTTGTTAGAGCCCCTCATAAGGTTCGTAAATACATAGTGTTAACTTCCAGAATCTTTATCGCCTTCTTGCCCGTCACCGAATAGAATCTCTTATTATATTCCACAGCCGCTTGAAGAAAGAGTTCACCTTTCCACACACTTTGTAGTTTACAGCAACTTCTTCGGCAAATTTTGATAATTTTCGGGAAGTAGTAATCAAGTAAAATCTGCTTTACATCGTCCTCTGCAAAGTAGGCAATTCCCAGTCGATAAAGATGTTTAGTCTTTATGCAAAGTAAAGTGAAAGTTCATTTTGAGGATGCGGATGACTCCTCAAGAATTATGTGTTTCCTGAAGCATTTCAGAGGCTTGTCCATAACCGTAATCAAATGTGTCTTATATACCACCTAGAAGTGGGTCACGCTCATTGTCTAATTTTCAACGATTCGCATGCGGTTCTACTGATCGATATTTTCTGTAAAATTTAATATTTCTTCTTCGATTTTCTGTAACGAGTTAATATATGTATTTTCAGCCCTCCCCGGCTGTTATCCGATTTCACCTATTTCTTGTGTTGAAGAAGTGCTTAAAATACATGCATTTTGATATAGCAGTTGTTTATAAGATATAAACATTAAACATATTAGGATGCGGGGCTACGCCCACTTTTTAAAAACAATCCTTTTGGGCCTGTTGGGACACATACGAACGTACCGACAGAAGTTTTCTCACAATAAATGGGGACTACGCATTTTATTCATTTTAAATGTGTTCCGTCTGATATTTCCAAATTCAAATAATGGTTTCGAATAATTTTTGGGCAGAAAAAGTACAAGTGATAGTGCTCGCATAGTTTGCTAATTATTTGTGAATATTCGAATGTTTCAGCACATTATCGTTTATGGGACCTATGTGTCACCGTAGGTTTATTTCTTGGTATTAGTATGTTCCTCTGAGTGTTTGTTTTCCTAAAGGAAGTGGGGATTTAATTTTCTGATTTTTTTGTTTGTATTATATATCGTAAAATTAAAAAAATCACCAAAGCCGAGATTGATATGCTGGTTGCTTTATGGTTCGAAAGGGTTAAACCATAGGACAAAGAAATTTGAAGTTCATTGAAACATAAAATCGTTATATTTGGTAATTTTAAATAAATTTTCACGTTATCCACGAAATTACTAAATCGTTATGTATTAAATATTATAATCACAAAGTGCTTTACTGTCTGATCATAATTTTTTTTTTAGAGAATGGTATTTGTGAATAATTGAATTGATGACGACCGCAGTTTAATAACATTTATTGAAAAGTAGTATTTTCCTTGGATATATTCAGCAGTATCAAAGGGAAACGTCACAAAGAAGTAATAAACACGATTAATGCAATGAACCAGATTACTCAACTTGAAGTTTGTGTTGCAGTAGAGCAGTGCAAATTTTGACATATATTTATATATACACTTGCGTTCAAAAAACCGGACTATATTTGTAGACTATTATGGCTATATATGCATATTTGGGATTTCAAAAAATGACATAAAACGAATATTAACACTTGATGTCAATAAAAACGCACCACCACTTTTGTGGACTATCTTCAGCTATATAACTGTAAATTAAAAAAAAAAATTCTACTAGATCTGGTAGCCACTAAGAAAAAAAATATTTTTTATGAAATAGGGTTGCACACTGTTCAGATATAGTCGTGTTTTGGTTATGTATTTGAAAAGTTGTGCAAAATGTCAAATAATAAAAAGAAATTAACGCGTGACCAAATAATTCGCATAATGGCATTAGACGAAGAAAATTTGTCTTTTCGGCAAATAGCAGCAGTATTGGTTGTAGCCATTCAATTCGTCTTTTACAAAAAAACAAAGAAAATAGTGATGTGTTGGAGCGTAAAAAGGGATCACGTCGTCTTCGAAAGTCAACTGAGAGAACAGAAAACTTACTGCGGCGGATAAGTTTAAGCGACCAAGTGGCCTTAACTGTCGAAATCATACGCCGACGGCTAGAGATGTGGGTTTATATGGAAGACGGCCTGTCAAAAAGCCACTATTAGTACAAAAAATGAAGGCTGCATGACTTTTTTGGGCTGAAAACAACCAAAATTGGGATACAAAATGATTGGCAACAGATTATGTGGACTGATCACACAACGTGTTCCGTTCAGGTGGTGAGAGGTTCCAGGATAATTGTGTAGTGAAAAAAGTTAAGGTTCCTTAAAGTCAAATGATTTAGGGCTGCTTTTCATGCTATGTTTGGGGCCTCTACACCTTATTGATGAAATAATTGAGAACTTATGGCGCTTAATGAAGTGTGAAGTTGCTAAACAGAAGCCAACAAATAAAAATCAATTTATAAAGATTTTAGAACTGGTTTGGTATGGTCCCAATTGAGGTCCTAGTGAATTCCATGCCTTCAAGAAGTAAGGAAGTTATTGAGGCTAAAGGCGGAACGACTTTTTATTAGAAGCGCCTATTTTGTAGTCTACATATATTTCTACCGTTAGTGGTGAAAATGATTGAGTCGTTTTAAATTAACTTCACATTGTTTTCTTTTAATTAATTCTAAATATCATGGAATGTATATTTTTGTTAATTTTTTTTAAATTAATTGGTTATTCCTTATAAAAACCATTTTCGAGAAAAACTTTTGTGGATAACTAATTTACACTATGTAGCCAAACAAATAAAAATGGCCCTAATATTCTAACTTTATAAACAAATTGTTCATGTGATCTTATTTCAATACTTTATGGTGGTGCGTTTTTATTGACCGAAAGTGTAAATACATGCGTCAAAAGTGTACGCTCATCTCGTTTCAGTTCTAGTTATTGTATCGCACACCCGACCTCAACATCGCCTGAGCTATACCCTGGCATTCAAGGGTAGTATCCCTGCGGACGATGTCAACATCGATTACACGATACACACGGTGTAGTGCAGTATGAAGGCTAAGCCTCCATCATTATGGGAGGGATTGGTTATATTGAGGTCCTTAAGGCCGTGGAGGTCCTTTCTTGGCCACTCGATTTGAGCGGTGGCGAACAAGGTGCAGATTGCACAGCCGTTGAAGCAGGTGTCGCAGTAGTGCGTTGGCAGCATAGGGCCACGTAACTCGTGGTCCACTCCCTATGGGTCTTAAGGCCTGAGCAGGTCTTAAGATGGCTCCATCCATTGCATGTGTTGCGCCTAACCGAGGGATGAAGCCCTTTAGCGCAAATGCAGCAGAAGAAATCCTCGGGGTCCAGGTTGGACTCGATGCCAGCACGGGTCAAGAGGATACGGAGCAACCCTGCTGCTAGGCGTTGTTCGTTAGATCGCCGAAATATCAGTCCTTGGCCGGATAAAATCCGGGTCAATTCCAGTAACGTAGAACCGGCTGTTGTGGGAATTCGCTCGTTTGTTCGTTTAGTTTGGTCAAAATGTTGGATATTTTATTGAAATTAAGTTAAATTTATTAATGGTTTAGCGCTTACTATAAAAGAAATTGGTCTTTGTCTAAACCACATATCTCTAATAAATCATATGTTAATGAATTCCGATCCTTTGGTTGACATTTTTCACATCAACTTAATATAATATATTTAACCTTTTCGGTTAAATTTTTCACATCAACTCAATATAATATATTTAACCTTTTCGGTGATATATATCACATGTATCTTATTTGAGGATGATTTTAGTATAATTTTCGCTGATGACAAGCAAAATAAATGTATAAGATTCCAATTTGATTATAATCCATTCACGATTTCGTCAAACAATGAAGTTGAACACTTTTGCTACTTTTTTACATAAATATATGTTTAAGTTTTGCCAGCATCTGAAAGTATTTTGCCGGCTTTGATCCTTGCAAGTTGCAAGAATATAAAATATTCGGTTACTTTTATTGTACTTTTCGCTTATAGTTTATTGCTCTCAGTTACATTTAAATAATTTGCTGTCATCATTAATGATTTTAGTTTTATTTATTATATTGTAGTTTATCTTCGCATTTTGTATTCCTTATGTTATAAGATATTGCATATTTCCTAGAACATTATTCTTTATCATCTACAGGTAAATTAATATACATAAGTATATTTTACTATATTTTAGATAGACAAAGAAGAAATATATCTACGAAGAGTCATTGGTTCTAAAAAAGATCAGTACTTTTTAAACAAAAAAGTAGTTCCCAGAACAGAAGTCGTGAACTTACTTGAATCTGCTGGATTTTCGAACTCTAACCCATACTATATTGTCAAGCAAGGAAAAATTAATCAAATGGCTACAGCAGCTGATTCATACAGATTAAAATTACTGCGCGAAGTAGCTGGTACTCGAGTATATGACGAACGAAAAGAAGAGTCGCTTAATATTTTGCGAGAAACCGAGGGCAAACTTGAAAAAATTTCAGAGTATCTCAGAACTATTGAGGAACGATTGAAAACATTAGAAGAAGAGAAGGAAGAGTTGAAGGAATATCAAAAATGGGATAAAGCAAGGCGAATGCTGGAGTATATAATACACGAAACTGAATTAAAGGAAACCAAAAAGGCACTCGATGATTTGAATGAACAAAAGAAATCATCTGTCGACAAGAAAAAAATTTATAACATCGAAATTCAGAAGGCTCAAGAAAACATAAAAGAAATTCAAAAGCGTTTAAAAGATGCAAAAAAAGACGTTATCTCAACGAAAGAAGAACGATCTGTATTGTTAACAGAACAGCAACAACTGCTGCGTGAAAAAACAAAGCTTGATCTTATTATAATCGATCTTAATGATGAAGTACAAGGGGATAATAAATCAAAAGAAAGAGCTGATCTAGAGTTAAAAAAATTAAAAATAACAATAGCGGAAAAAGAGAGAGAGTTGGATGATGTTAAACCGAAATACGAAGCTATGAAGCGTAAAGAAGAAGAATGTTCACGAGAGTTATCCCTTAAGGAGCAAAAAAGAAATGAGTTATATGCCAAGCAAGGACGGGGGTCCCAGTTTTCCTCAAGAGAAGATAGAGATAAATGGATTTTAAATGAATTAAAATCTCTAAGTAAACAAATAAGAGATAAAATTAATCACAATTCGAAATTAATGGAAGATTTAAAAAAGGATAGCAATGCTGAAGCAGATCTAAACAAAAAAATTGAAGAGCATTCTAACGAACTTGAACAACTGCGACTTCAAATAGATGATCATAACAAAAAATACTATGAATTGAAGAAAACCAAAGATCATTATCAAGCAATGAGGAATGAATTATGGAGAAAAGAAACTCAAATGACGCAACAACTACAAACACACAAGGAAGAACTATCTAAAACAGACCAAGCACTCAGAAGTATGGCAGGTAAACCAATATTAAACGGTCGAGATTCCGTTCGCAAAGTGTTGGATAATTTTTTTGAGCGTGGTTCTCCTTTTGATGAAATTGCCAAATCTTATTATGGACCAGTTATTGAAAATTTCAGTTGTGATAAGACAATATATACAGCTGTTGAAGTTACCGCTGGAAATAGACTATTTCATCATATCGTTGAGTCAGACAAAGTTGGAACTCAAATTTTAAAAGAAATGAACAAACTTAAGCTACCAGGGGAAGTTACATTTATGCCTCTAAATCGACTGCAAGTAAAAATACATGATTATCCGGATGATCCAGATTCGATTCCTATGCTCTCAAAGCTTAAATACGATGAACAGCATGACAAAGCATTGAGATACATATTTGGAAAAACTTTAATATGCAGAAATTTAGAAAGAGCAACAGAACTTGCTAAAAGCACTGGATTGGATTGTGTTACTTTGGATGGCGATCAGGTATCCTCTAAAGGATCTCTAACAGGTGGCTATTTTAATACATCACGATCACGTCTTGAAATACAGAAAAAACGGTCTGAATATACACAACAAATACGAGATTTTGAAAAAGAGTTAAGTAAACTAAGAAATGAGATCAAACAAACAGAAAATAGTATAAATTCAGTTGTTTCGGAAATGCAGAAAACAGAAACAAAACAAGGAAAAACCAAAGATATATTTGAGAAACTCCAAGGTGAAATTCGTTTGATGAAAGAAGAATTATTAAGGATTGAAAAATATAGATCAACCAGAGAAAGATCTGCATCTCAATGTAAAGCTAGTTTAGAAGCAATGAACAGCACAAAAGCTGGGTTGGAAGCTGAGCTTAAGCAAGAACTTTTATCCAGTTTGTCGGTACAAGATCAACGAGAAATAGATCAACTTAATGATGATATCAGGAAATTAAATCAGGAGAATAAAGAGGCTTTCACTCAAAGAATGCAGTTAGAAGTTGTAAAAAATAAGCTAGACAACCTATTAACCAATAATCTATTTCGAAGACGCGATGAATTAATTACAGCACTTCAAGAAATATCTGTCGAGGATCGGAAACGAAAACTCTTGAATTGTAAAAATGATTTAATATCTGCAGAAAAGAGGATTAAAAAAGTCAATATTGATCTGGAGGACATTGAAAAGAGGTATGCATATTTATATTTTCAACTATCTTGCATATTCCTAGTACTATGAGGGTCGCCTTTTACATTTCGGGATAAAAGAACAGAAACAAATGTTAATCATCAAAAATAGCTTTGTTGCTTTTAAAAATATTCTCCATTAAGATCTATACACTTTTGCATGCATTTGAACCAAATGTTGAAGCACTTTTGCCACTGACATGTGTTCTGAACGCATCAGCCGCCTCTTCAGGTGTCGAAAAACGTTGACCTCTTAGTTTATTTTTTACGTACGAGAATAAAAAAGAATCATTCGGTGCCAAATCAAAACTGTACGGTGGACGACTCATCAAATTGATGTTTTAAGTGCTCAAAAATGTAGTTTCAGTCGATGTGTGAGAGCTCGCATAGTCGTGATAAAGAATAATCCATCTTCGGCGGTTGGTTTTCCTGATTTTTTGAAAGACAACTGGCAAACAAATGGTTGTGTTCCACTCAGAGTTTACTGTTCTACATTGTTCTAGTGGTATGGTTACGACATGTCTAGTTTTTCCAAAAAAAACCAGACAACCATTTGGTTGGAAGTGCCTCGTTCGCGAACAACTTTTGTTCGATTCGGCTCATTTGAAAACTCCCATACAGCCGATAGCTTTTTACATTCGTGCTCATACGCGTAAACCCACGATTCATCACCTGTCACGATGTCATAGACGTGTTTCGAAGCACCGCTATCGTATTTTTTTTAACATTTCTCTCGACTAATTGATACGACCATTTTTTTGAGCGATTAAAAATCAAATGTTCATGCAATATTTAATGTACACATGCTATCCTATTAATCCCTATGGTTATCTCAATCTCACTATAGGTCACATGACAATCTTGCAATATCAGTTTGCGCACAGCATCAATACTTTCCATTAAAACAACTGATTTTAGACGACCTTTACGAAATTCTTCTTGGAGTGATCTACGTCCTCGATTGAATTCACCATACTATTGATAAGCACTGGTTTTTGAGAGCTTCGTCGCCAAAAATTTTATTAAGTTCATCAATGTACTGTAGCTGAGTTAATCCAAGATATACAAAATAATCGGGAGAAAATTTTCGCGATTTAATTCCATTTTTGGCCGTGATGAATGTTTTTAGTTACTATAAACAACGCAAAAAGCGCTCATATGTCAAAACATTCTGAGTATATATAACATCAAAAATGTCAAACTTTACGATAAAGTTGTGAGTTACCAGATTGCAACTCGGGTTGCTAAGTCCCGAAATATAAAAGGCAACTTACGTGATTTGGAACTTTGAAGTTCTTTAATATACATATATTTCAAAACCACATGAGTTTACCTCAATGGAACTAATATTATGCACATTTTTATTTTTATTGTATTGTGACAATATTATTTCTGCAGCTATTCGTTTTTTTTCCTTTCATTGTCAGGTTGCTGTTTAGTTCGTTAGGGCCTATTTCAATTATAAGCGAACAGATGGCGCCAGTTTCATGTAGGTTCAGGCAGACGAATGGGTGCCAAATGTCGATTTACAAGATGTGAAAAAAGGTTAAATTTGGCTAAAGAATTAGAACTCAATTTCATTGAAACTGATCATTTAACGGTGCGAAACGCAAAGTTTAAAAGAGAGTTAAGAAATTGTTTAGATCCCTATAGAGAGGTTTTAAAAGAAGACGAGTTAGGCGGAGTGTTGAAAGGATGAGTGTTGAAATATTAAATTTTACAAAAGTCTTTCTTGTTTTTGTTGGAAAACAGTTTTTTCAGTTTAGTTTTGGTATCATTTATTTATATAAACTCTTCAAGTACTTATTGGTCTCCGTATAACGCGGTACGAATGATGTGATTTGTACTAATTCTGCGTTTCTTATATATATTATATATTCAACGTAGAAGGTTTCCATAGAACGCGCTACGAATTAGCCTGGTGTGTACGGTTAAATCCGAGTTTCTTACAGCGCGGTTTCCATATAACGCGGTACGCACTCACCGCGTTATGGGAGGGTTGACTGTATTTATTTCTTATCATTCGTTTATTTTTGCAGAAGGTCCTAACGAAGGCTTTTGTTTTGGTTTTGCAAAATCACAGTCGATTTTACAATTACATTCGATGAGTGTTGAACAAAACATTGTCATACTATTAGACAGAGGGCATGCGATGCGCCCTCTTCTGTTCTCCTTCTGCCGTTATGCACTATTGATAACTACTATGCACATTCGGTAAGTTATATGTAGGCATACTGCTGATTTACATTACGCTCACATGTCACATTACAACCGATTCGTAGTCGTATTTTGATCGTTATCGTTGAAGTTCGTGACTGTGTACTTGGAAACCTGTATTTATTTGTCGTTTAATATATAATATAATAATATAACTCAACTGCATCTTACCCACAGCAATGCGTGAGCGAGGTCTTCTAGTAGATCTATATATAAGAGTCTGTTTTCTTTTTTTGTAAGCATAAGTGTTATGAAATTCGTAGACATTCAGATTATTTCTTAGGAAGCTCTAGAATACTTGCATTCTAAAACTGGCGCAAAGAAATAAATAATCGAAAACAAAATGCTTATGCCTGTTACAGACATGTGGTAACCAGTCCATACTACGAACAAATGCCAGATATGTGTCACCAAACACTAGCACTTTTGTGCAATGTACTATTTTGCTGATAACAATACATTATATTTCATTGTAGTAAGAAACACAGCTAAAAAAGGTAACGAACTTAGATAAAAGCGTTTGCACAAAAGTTTTTTTTAAATATTCTATAAAAAAAAAAAAAAAGAAGAATAATAATAATGAACACATCGTTGTTTAAAATTTTTTAAATTATTTGAATTATATATTGCCTATGAAACAAAGCTAGTATTTTGGTTTACTACTTTGCTATATGTGGCATCAACCGTAGTAAACAAAATACCATAATATTTGTATTATGGTATTGTTACCACATGTCTGTCACAGGCATTAAAGATACACGCTTGGTTACAAATCGATGATAAGCCTGCCAAAAAAGGCCATTGACATTATATATATCAAACACTTCAGAAACATAGGTTTTGAAAGGTATTAAATATAGTAATGTTGATTAGTCCTAAATTAAAGACATCTCTGGAACCAGTCAAAGCCATTCCATTGTAAATGTTCATGTAGGAATCATTTACGCAAATTCCCCACAATAAAGTAAATGATCGCAATGCCAATTAAATCCATGATTATTAATTCGTTAGTATTAGATACATACATTATAATTAGGAAAATAAACATTTACTATTATGAGTTATTTATAAGAGTTGACAACACATGTATTTTTTTATGTATTGTGGCGAACACGAATACCAGAACAAATCAGCATCGACGATAAACTGCCAGAAGCAACTAGACAGTGAATTCGTAGTTGCTGGAATGTTCTAGTAGCCAACTTTTGTTAAAAATTTACTATATAAGGGCGGCCGGGCTATATATATAATATATAAGGACGGCCGGGCTATATATAAGCTTTAAGCAATAAGTTGTAAACTCGAATATAGAGCAATAAGTGTTAAGTTGTTGGAATAAAGATAAGTGTATAGCCAATAAATTGGGACTTTAATTTAACAATCTAGTGATCGAACTCAAGAGTGAGTTACAGGTAGACGATTTATCGAGAAATCCGTTACAATTGGTGTCAGAAGTGGGATTGTCAAATAAATTCCCAAGGAGATAATTATTTGAAAATGGCCAAGTTTAACGATCTGAAGATTCTACAACTGAAAAAGGAGCTGGAGCAACGTGGTTTGGCGACAAATGGATAAAAAACAGAATTACGATCACGGTTGAGAGAGGACATGAGGCGAAAAACATTAATGTTGAGGAATATGTCTTTCACATGGAATTAGAGGAAGAGACAACAAAGATAGGAAGAGGCTCAATGCTCGTCAAAGACTGTGGACATAAACATGATTTTTGCTGCAATATCGCAGATGGGAAAGACATGTCAACGCAAATATCGATACAAATAGCAGAGGTGTCATCACAAATGTTGGCACAACACTCCCAATTGTCCTCGTTAAAAACGCAGTTGGAAGAGCAGCTCGCAGCGCAAGATGCACGTATATCAGCACAGGTGTCCACACAGTTGGAAGAGCAGTTTGCAGCGCAAGATGCACGTATATCAGCACAGGTGATCTCACAACTAGCAGAAGCGTCCTCACAAATTTCGGAATGATAAAATTAAAACTGAAGTGGATGAATTGAAAGATCGTATCCGCGAGCTAAAATTAAATCGGCCAATTGTGTCAACAGCTTCTGCCAAGGTAAAACCTCCATCCTTTGATGGCACTGTTCCGTTCCACGTTTTTAAGCTTCAATTCGAAAAGGCGGCACCTTCAAATAATTGAAGATAAAGTAGCTGCATTGTTCGTTTCATTAAAAGGATCTGCAGCGGAGATATTACAGAGCATTTTAAACTGCGAGGCGAGTGGCTATGAAACTTTGATGGGTACATTAGAAAGACGGCATGGTAGTAAGCACAGGAAGCAGATCATTCAAATCGAGTTGCGAAATCGCCGCTAAAAAGGCAATGAGTCTCTGCAGGAGTTTTCTACATAGATTGAGAGGTTAGCTCACTTAGCTTATGCACATAAATCCGTGAAATACATCGACATTGACGTTTTGCAGAAACCGTTTCGTATGCTCTGACACAGGAAACTGCATCTCTGCTTTGCAATCAAAAATTTAAAGCTCACAAAGTAGAAATAGAGGAGTTCACACTTGGGTGAACCAATTACATTAAAATATTGACAACATGCAGAAAGCACCTGAAAAATCTACGGAAGCGCATAAGAAAAATGATGGTGTGCTTAAATGCTTCAACTGCGGAAAAAGTGGCCATATTGCACGCAACTGTAACCAGTCCAATAATCCAGTTGGACGTAAACGGAAAGCTGAGGAAGATCAAGCAAATGTCAAATCAAACCAATCGTTAAACTAAAGCGAGCCAGCCGGAAAGGACACGAGCTGGCTCTCGCAAGCAAATGCCCTATAATCTCCATTTCACAAATAAGCAGGAATACGAGTAACGTTCCCGTTAGTGGATGCGTAGACGGTAAAAAGCGCATACTGACTGTGGATACGGGCGCATCACATTCCATAATTCGATCTGATCTGGTTAAAAAAGAAGTGAGACCATTAGCTGGGGTAAAGTTGCGTACTGCAACGGGAGAAGATACCGTAGTTCTCGGAAAGGTAACGTGCGAGATCGTAATTGGAAAAGCAGCCGTGTTACACAATTTTATAGTGGCAGATATCGTTGACGAAGTCATAATTGGAGTAGATTTTCTAGCGAATCAAGGAATCAAAATTGACATGAAAAACAGGATTATGTACAACGTTAGACGAGTGATAACAACAGAGAGCCAGCAGATTCCACCAACATCAGAAGCAGTTATTTGGGCAGAAATAGATGGAGACTATGGGACAAACAAGTGGTGGATTGTTCAGGTTTCAAAAGAATCTACACCAAACTTACTTATAGGCAAAACCTTGGCTATGACAAGACAAGATAAACGTGCTCCAGTAAGAGTACTTAATGAGTGCAAGTTACCAATCAAACTCTCCAAAGGAGCTGTATTAGGGCAGAGTCAAAAGATTGAGGTCATGATAAATTGCAAAATAGGTCTTGAGTGGTTCTCCATGGGCGAAAACGATATATCGAGCGAAATTAACGCATGGACCGAGGAACTAGAGGCAAACTTTCAAACTGCGGCTAAACAACTTCTTCACAGATAATCAACCATATTTGATAAAGACGATGCCAAACCAGGAAGAACGAAAGTTGTGAAACATTTTATTAACACAGGTGATGCCAGACCAATCCGCCAGGCTTCTCGGAGCGTTCCTTTAGCAAAACGTGAAGTTGTAAACCAGACCATACGTGAAATGAGAGAAAGCGGCGTAATCGAACCATTAGAGAGTCCGTGGAGCTCACTTGTAGTACTTGTGAAGAAGAAAGATGGCAACATGAAATTTTGTGTGAACTATAGAAGGTTGAATGATGTAACGAAGAAACTACCTAGAATCGATGACACACTGGACTCATTATCAGGCACAAAATGGTTATCAACACTTGATTTAAAAAGTGGTTATTGGCAAGTTGAGGTAAACGAAGAAGACAAAGAAAAGACGGCTTTCAGCATTGGAGGTCGTCTATGGCAATTTACCGTAATGCCCTTTGGATTATGTAATGCTCCTGCTGCTTTTGAGAGACTTATGGACCAGGTATTAAAAGGATTACACTGGAAGACCTGTTTGGTATACCTCGACGATATCATCGTGTTGGGTAAAAGCTCCGATGAACATCTTAAGAACTTGGAAAAGGTTTTCCAACGGATAGCTAGCACTAGTCTGAAGCTGAGTCCAAAGATGTGTTCCCTTTTCAAAAAGGAAGTTAGCTATTTAGGACAGAAAGTGATAACGGAGGGCATTTGCACAGCTAATGAACATATCGAGGCAGTAAGAGAAGGCCCGCTCCTAAATGTTTACATGAATTGGGGAGTTTCCTTGGACTGTGTACTTATTATAGACGATTCATTCCAAATTTTGCCAGCGTAGCTAGTAGCCTCTATGAACTCACGAAAAAAAAAACAGAGTTTTTGAATGGAATAAAGAACAGGAAGTGGCTTTCCAAACTCTGAAGAAGCGGTTAAGTACTGCGCCAATGTCAGCATACTTGATCCCAGGGTCAACGTTTATTTTGGATACGGATGCTAGTGGGTTTGCAGTAGGAGGCATTCTATCACAAGTCATTGATGGGCATGAGAAAGTGGTTGCATAATACAACCAGACAATATGCAAGCCAGAGAGAAATTATTATGTTACTCGGAGGGAATTACTGGCGTTGGTGAAGTGCATCAAACATTTTCATAAGTACCTATGGCCAGCGATTTCGTGTGAGGACAGATCATGCAGCATTAAAATGGCTTCTGCAATTCAGGAACCCAGAAGGACAGTTGGCACAGTGGGTTGAGAGACTCCAAAGTTACGACTTTTCTATAGAACATCGCAAAGGTATTAATCATGGAAATGCTGATACCATGTCCCGCCGTCCTGGTAATTTGGAATGCAGACATTGCTCACAAGCTGAGGCCAAAGAAGACAATATAGATGTCCAAGAGGATCCAGATTTGAAAAGTGTAATACATGGATTGGAGATGAATAAACGTCCAACGAGAGAAGAAATTGCTGCAGAAAGCCCAGTCGCTAAGGCTAATTGGGCACAATGGAATAGCGAAGATGGGCAAAGTTCACGAGCTCTGATGATTATTCCAAAAGTAAGAATTCCTGAAGTTGTCAACGAGCTGCACAACGGTCCAAGTGGAGGACACATGGGTATCACTAAAACCTTGGAGAAATTAAAACAAAGATTTTATTGGGTTGGTTGTCGTCAATCAGTTACTGATCTGATCGCCAATTGTGTCGAGTGCATTGCTGCTAAAGGGCCGAGGTCCAGGAGTCATGGTCAGATGAAGCAGTACCATTCGGGTGCGCCCTTTGAGCGAATTGCCATGAATGTAGCTGGTCCATTTCCTAGTAAGTTAGAAAACAGATGTGTTTTGATAGTCATGGACTATTTCAGCAAACGGCCAGAGGCATACGCAATTCCTAGCCAAGAGGCAGGAACAATGGCGGATGTATTCATCAACAATTGGGTATCGAGATATGGTGTTCCAATAGAATTACATTCTGATCAAGAGAGAAATTTTGAATCAGCTCTAATTCAGGAGATATGCCAGAAACTGGGTATCCGGAAAAGGTGTACTACATCCGCAGTCCGATGGCATGGTAAAACGATTCAATCGATCTTTGGAAGAACGTTTGAGGAAAGTTTTGGACAATTATCAAAAAGATTGGGATACCCATATATTCTTGTTCCTGATGGCTTATCGGTCTGCTGTACATGAAACAACGGGGCAGACTACAGCAAGGATAATTTTTGGGAATGATATTCGACTACCGATTGATTTAAAATTTGGAATTAACGCCAACGGAGGAAAGAATACGTATGGTGAGACTGCGCACTAAAATTATGAGCGATAAGATGAAAGCAAAATACGACAAGGCTCTGAGGGTTTTACTGAAGACGATTGGGTATTGTTACATAACCTACAACAAAAGAAAGGGTTATCTCCCAAATTACAGTGTAATTGGGAAGGATCATACCAGGTTATTAAACGACTGAATGATGTAGTGTATCGCATATAGACCATTGGAAGATCAAGGAATAAAATGAAGGTGGTTCATCTGGAACGGCTTGCAGCGTTTGGTACCGCAAATATGTCTAATCGGGACGATCAGACTTAGATAGAGAGCAGTGTGGCGAACACGAATACCAGAACAAATCTGAATCGACGATAAACTGCCAGAAGCAACTAGACAGCGAATTCATAGTTGCCAGAATGTTCTAGTAGCGAACTTATGTTAAAAATTTACTATATAAGGGCTGCCGGATTGTGCAGCAGACACAGTTCTAATTAGAGTTGTTGGAATAAAGATAAGTGTATAGCCATTAAATTGGGACTTTAATTTAACAATCTAGTGATCGAACTCAAGAGTGAGTTACAGGTAGACGATTTATCGAGAAATCCGTTACAGTATTTTGTATAGTTAAAATACACTAATGATTATTGTAACTAGAGTGATTGCCTGACATAGCAGAATGAAAATTGTCTGCAGACACGAGCTGGTCTGCTGTTAGAAAAATATCTATTAACTTTAAGATTCCTTTATATTACCATTTATTCTTATTTATACTTCATAAATAGTATAATGTGAACTGCTCTTTAAAATTATTTCTTTCAGAGTTCAACAAGCAGTTCATCTCCAAAAAACTCTTCAACTTGAGCTAGAAAATTTTATGCGGAAAGAAAAAGAAGCAGAAGAAAAAATAAATGAGGATGCAAAGAAAATGGAGAAATGGACGTCGAAAGAAATTTTACTTAATCAAAAACTTGACGAATGTGCAGAAAAAATTGCAAGTTTAGGTGCTTTACCTCAAGTTGATGGTGTTTATAGTAAAATGTCATTAAAATCTCTGTTTAAGGAACTTGAAAAGGCAAACCAGCATCTTAAGAAATATAACCACGTGAACAAAAAAGCTTTAGATCAATTTCTAAGTTTTTCAGAGCAAAAAGAAAAGTTATATAAACGAAAGGATGAATTGGATATAGGAGATCAAAAGATCCGTGAACTAATGAAGACGCTTGAAATGCAAAAAGTTGAAGCCATTCAGTTTACCTTTAAGCAAGTTGCCCAAAATTTTACTAAAGTATTTAAGAAATTGGTACCACAAGGGGCAGGTTACTTGATATTAAAAACTAAGGACAGTGACGATGAAAAAGACGATAAAGAAGTAGCTAATTCTGATGCCTTTACTGGAATTGGTATTCGAGTCTCCTTCACAGGAGTGGACGCTGAAATGCGAGAAATGAATCAATTATCTGGAGGTCAAAAATCGTTGGTGGCACTGGCATTAATTTTTGCAATTCAGAAATGTGATCCAGCGCCTTTTTATTTATTTGATGAAATTGATCAGGTAATTAACTGTTATTAACATGATGAGTTCCACTGATTTTTAAAATGCTTGCGTAGTAAGTTAACTAAAAAGTTTCTTATGCAATTTAAATTTAAGCGCCGAACATTTTTTAAACGAAGTTTGAAAGTGTCAAGAGTGAGGAAAAAGTTTCAAGTGCTGGCAAAACTTTATATTAAGTAGGGAAGGGCGATTTTACACATTTTCGGTGTTTAATTATAGTATATCCAATATTATACTTTCACTTAATTTTGCTAAGGTATCTTACATATTGACCGAAATATACGGTATAATGCCAGCCAGAAGTTTGACATTCCTAAATTTCAAATGTGGGGACTATGGGAAGTATTGAAATCATTTTGTCTATTTTAGGCACAAGAACATACTGTTATTAACAGTAAAGGGTTTCTGGTTTTCATTATGATATCTCACAGATTTCGATAATTTGAGATGACTACTATGGTGTTACAACATGTGTAAAGTTTTATTCCGATATCTTTACTGGTGCTTGATTTATAACTGTATGTTATGCTGTAATATGATGAGCTGTATATATGCAAACTAGTCCCGCAGTTTTTCAGCTATCGACCTAAAATTTTGTACCTATTGTTTCCTCACTAAGAAGCTGCTCTTTTGTCGGAATATAGCATATAGCTGCCATACAACCTGAACAATCGGAATCAAGTATTTGTATGTAAAAGTGGTTGTATAGTAAAGTGCTTGCACAGAAAACTTTTTAATTTGACGATGTATCTTCACGAAATTAGGCGATAGTCATTATTTAAGGCAACAATGTACTCTCCGAAGAAATTGTTGAGATTAGATCACAATACCATATAGCTGTTTTTGTATGGAATATTTGTATTTGTAAAGGGTATTATAGCTTCGGTGCAACCAAAGTTAACGTTTTTTCTTGTTTATTTATCGTTTAGAACCAAAAAACGTTTATTGTACGAGAAAAGCTTGACCATCGAAAAAATACAGGTACATTTGGGAGATTTTGTCTCTATATACCATAGAAATGAAAAAGGTTTCATAAGAAGGTAAGAAATACTTAATTTTATATGCTGGTCGTAACTGTAATCGAACTTGGGGCATGCGTTGTGGTCATAATATAATAATAAAATGGATATTGATGTTCACCGAAAAATAGTAAAAATCTAAGTGTGCAAATAGAGGATAGCAAAAAAAAATTCTCTTACATTTCTTGAACTTTTCCCCAAGTGTTCACATGAAATTATAATTGTAGTACAAAGCGGGGAAATCGGAAATTGCTTATGTTATTTTCCTCTTTTTAACTGAATTTGCCAATTTAAATTCATGTTTGCTTAAGTCTAAAAAAATAGCCATTTTAAAATCATGAATACTTATCAAATCCTAAACATGAAATATAACTCTTTAAGTGGTTTATATTTCACTTGTGGTTTGAAAATACACAAACGATTGATCCATTTTAAATCCGAAAGGGAGATCGTAAATTTTTTCTATAGTGACGTTAATTAACCACAATTAATTGTTGGGTGCAATTAAGTGAATTTAGGTCATGATAATACAAACTAAATCGAATTGTACCATATTAACCAATGCAAACTAGCGGTTGTATTCTAAATAATTATTTGTAATTCTCATATAAAAAATATATAACACCATTCGACAAACATTACATTTTTTCTGTGTATTGCACCAAACCAATTTTGTTATAAGCGCGAGATTGAGTCATAAGCAGAGATGTGCATGACCACAACCAAACGACCCTCACAAAGTGACACACTTACGATCTTTTAGCACATGATGGGTCTCAGCCCATCCCTGGTCGTAAGTAAAAATGTAATTTCTCCGTTTTTCGATGTATATCCGAATATTTGCCTTCTTGCTTATTTCAAACTTCTTTATTTATTATAGTATGTAAATGACTAAAAAATTCATGATTCAATTATATACAGTTGTGTCGATAGCCCAAGAACAACAATTTGTCAAAAGGGTTTTAATTTATAATGTCAAAATGAGCCGCTTTGTTTTGTTTTTTATGATCGCAAATTATTCAAAGTATTCAACCAACGAAAATTTGATTTTGAGTGATAACTGAATACGAATAGATTGCAAAACCTTCAAAATTATCAAAATGTAAATGAGAAATTCATGAGAAAAAAGAAACAACAGTTGTTTTGACATTATGAATTAAAAAACTTTTGGTAGGAAGCAGTGCATTTTGAAAAAAATGGTAAATTTATTTTGAATCGTTTTTTCAACTGTTCAGTGGGGTCTTTTTATTGCATTTTTAAAGGAAACTTCCCATAGAACATTCTTCCAAACCTCTGGTGGCATTTTTTACATTTATTTACTACAGCAATACATTTTTGTCGGTTATCCAAGGAGTTATGTTTTTTACTAGCAATACGTCCGTGGAACCCTGATTTCTTCATAATTCTTCTGGCGAAGGAAACGCGTATGGACTTTTGGAACTCTTGCAAAGCATCAAAGGTCACCTGTCAGTTACCCTGACGTTTGTCTTTACAAGAAACACAACACTCCTCACTTCTCTTTGTACTAGCTTAGCAGAACGTCCAGATCTTGGCTTTGAAGTGATTATTCCTCCTTTTGCAATGTTATGAATAATTGTCTGACCTGTCTTTCAACTTCTACCGACGGGTTTTACTATTTGCCGGTTATTTTGGACGTTTATTGTGCAATTTAATAACAATTTGCCTTTCACTTCATTTTTTTTTCGCTTTGCCTCCATTACTAACAAAACCACAAAATGTATCAAAATACATTAATAAGATTGTTTTTCATATAAAACCGCGTTTTTTATTAAAATTCGAGGGGTGTGCGATACAATAACTAGAACTGAAACGAGATGAGCGTACACTTTTGACGCATGTATTTACACTTTCGGTCAATAAAAACGCACCACCAAAAAGTATTGAAATAAGATCACATGAACAATTTGTTTATAAAGTTAGAATATTAGGGCCATTTTTATTTGTTTGGCTACATAGTGTAAATTAGTTATCCACAAAAGTTTTTCTCGAAAATGGTTTTTAGAAGGAATAACCAATTAATTTTAAAAAAATTAACAAAAATGTAAAACGACTAAATCATTGTCACCACTAACGGTAGAAATATAGACTACACAATAGGCGTTTCTAATAAAATTTCGTTCCGCCTTTAGCCTCAATAATTGCTTTAATTCTTGAAGGTACGGAATTCGCTAGGATCTCAAATGGGACCTTCTGTTTAGCAACTTCACGCGTCATAAAGTGCCAAAAGTGCTCAATAGGGTTTATATCGGACTAGTTTCCAGGCCATTTCAAGCGTTGTATCCTTAGATCGTTAAATGTATTATTTATTATTCCATCAATAAGGTGTAGGGGCCCCAAAACATAGTATGAAAAGCAGCCCTAAATCATTTGACTTTAAGAAAACTTAACTTTCTTCACTATACAATTAGCCTGGAACCTTTCACCACCTGAACGGCGCACGTAAAGCAAATTGTGTGACCTTAGCAAACTAAATTTACTTTCGTCAGACCACATAATCTGTTGCCAATCATTTTGATCCCAATTTTGGTAGTTTTCAGCCCAAGAAATTCATGCAGCCTTCATTTTTTGTGTTAATAGTGGCTTTTTGACAGTCCGTCTTCCATATAAACTCGCATCTCTAAGCCGTCGATGTATAGTTTTAACACTTGAATCCACTTGGTGAAAATTTTGCATCTCCGCCCTTATGGAAAGTGCACTTATAAAGCGGTCGTTAAAACTTATCCGCCGCAGTAAGTTGTCTGTTTGCTCAGTTGACTTTCGAGGACGACCTGATCCCTTTTTACGCTCCAACATATCACTATTCTCTTTTTTTTGTAAAAGACGAACCATAGTTGTATGGCTACAATCAATTCTAGCTGCTATTTGCCGAAAAGATAACTTTTCTTCATCTAATGCCAGTATGCGAATTTTTTGGTCGCGCGTTAATTTTTTATAATTGGCATTTTGCACAACTTTTTAAATACACATCCAAAACACGACTATAACTAAACAGTGTGCAACCAAATTTCATAAAAAATAATTTATTTCTTATTGGCTAACAGATCTAGTAGAAATTTTTTTAAATTTACAGTTATACAGCTGAAGATAGTCTACAAAAGTGGTGGTGCTTTTATATTGACATTAAGTGTATATGTACATAACATAATATAATATGCATAAGTTTCTTTCATCCGAGAATAGGACCTTTTTTTTCAAATTCTTCATATGTACAATTACATTTTATGAAGGCATTTAAAAAACCATACATTTTTTGTTGCGCGCGGTCAACTTTCTGAGCCGAAACTTATCGAGGTTTTGCCGCTATGGTACCATAAATCATGTGTATCAAGTTTCATTAAGGTATCTAAAATTTTACTCAAGTTATAACTTGCAAAGACGGACGGACAGACAGACTGTCGCTAAGATTTCAACTCGTATCGACATCCTGATCAGTTATATATACATAACCCTATATCTAATCTCGATCAATTTTAGGTGATACCAAAAATCTTTAGGTTAACAAAACAATTATAGGAGAATATAAAAAAAAAATGTAAATAGTTATATTGAACTACGCGGACCAACCTTTGTATTGGTTATTACGTTCACAATAGCTTACACGAATTTAGATAAATATGCTTTGAAAACTTAGCTTAGTAATATAATTTGTGTCCTTAGCAAAAAAAAAAAAAAAAACAATTTAGTTTACGTACACAATGTCCTTAAACATCTAAAGGTAACCAATTATTTGTGTCTAAGACTATTAAATTGCTTTAAATATGCTGTACATGGATTTTCATTTTTTGGTCAAACGTGAAATCGTGGTCGTCAAATTCCATTTGAAACTTGGAAAACTATCTTAGACTTGTATAAGGAGAATGGAACATATGCAATCGGCCGAATTATTAACAAATCGCCATCGCGCAGAACATATGACAGACTATTCGAAATGTACTCCACAAAAATAGGTACATTGCTCGAATCTCTCTGGCGAATCGACAAAAGCGGGTTGCATTTGCAGAAAATACGTTGATGAACCTGACTCGTTTTGGGATAACATGGTATGTAGTGACGAGTCAAAATTCAATATTTTTGGTTCGAATGGCGCTCAGATAGTATGTAGAAAACCCCAATGAAACCTTAAACATTCAAAATAAAATTTACAATGAACAGCACCTTCATTTACAAATTTGGAGAAAAAATTCGAACAGTGTGCATCCTATCTAGGATTAGATTTGAAAACCGTGCCGGCGTCTTCAAGCAAGTTGCTAACTTAATTTACATTAAAAAAAATTGCAAGTTAATATTTCAAAAATATACGTAACCTTTTTTGTGGTAAAAATTAAAGTTCCTAGTTTTATTTGTTTTTTATCGTTTTGTTTTTTTTAAAACTTGAGAAAATGAAAAAATACTTATGGTTGCGAATATATGGTATGTATGATCAAAATATAATCAATTTGCGTTTTTATATATAAGATGCTCACTGTTTACGTCACATCAGCTTAATTATATACACATTCAATATTCTTTTATTCTTAGATAACATGTGGTCAGAGTATATATATAAGTACCAAGTGAATGATAGGTAAAATTGTTAATGTTAGTAGTAATTTTTAATAAATCAAACAATACCCTGTTAGCCACTTATCGGCTAAATCGTCGGTTAATTACCCAACAGTACTACCAGAGATTTCTGTTAACCCTCAAGGGGACGCGCGACGTCGATTCGACCGCATTTAATACATTTTCGCTGATAATAATTCTTAACGCATGCATATCTTGTCCTAAGTAGCTTGTCTTGTTTTCACTACCTAAAAAATAAACAGTTTAGCCTTACTAACCGTGCCCCCTTACCCACGGAATTCAATTGTTTCATTCACGGTGCAAGGGTGCACACGTCATTTGCAATGAATGTTATCTTGGTGAAGATATCGATTTTGAAAAAAACTAGACTAGGTTATTTTAATTATTTGATCTCATGAAGCCAACTGTTTTTATAATTTTATTTTTTGTGATTAGTTACTAGATATTTAAAGCTAGTTTCTGGAACCTATGATGGTTTTTTGTTCTTAAAACTGGGATTTCAATCTAAAGAAAAGTTAAGTTATTTTTTATTCATTTTATAACTTAATTGTTTACCTAAAGTTAGTTTTTATTTTGACAAATTAATGTCCTAGACAATGACTATTATTCCTAATTATAAAAAAAAATATACAGATTTGTTTAAATGAGATAAGCCTCCCCTACACATACACACCACTCTACTTGATAAAAACTTGTGCACCCTAGTATAACCACTACAATACACCACACTCATACATCACCACACGGGACAACACAACATACCACAGCATCCCGCCTGTACACCCCCTCAGCAAACAAAAAGGATGGTCTCCGCAGCAGATACACCTCATTCAATACGAACGCGATCCAGTGCGCTACTTTCTTTCGATGAAACAACGATTCAACGCGTTTGTCCTTATTTCGCTACGTTACCTCGATGCAGTGACTGGACATTATGCATAATCTTTTGTCGGTCAACTTAATCGGCAGCTCCACAAGTGATTTTCGATACATACTTGGATCCTCGCCGCCTTACTCGTCAACTTTACATTTGTTAATTTAATTACTAATGTATTTTACATATATATTTTGTATCGTAACATAGTGCACGAATAAACAGAAAATATAAAAATTACACTTCATTATTTGCGAGCGAAACGGGTGCAGTGACATAAAAATACATATATGCATATGCTTAAGTACATATACAAGTATGTCTACAAACAAACACCACATTTTCAACAAGCAAAATTGTTCAAAAAGCCAAAAACACAATTCGGGCGCGAAATACTAAAACACCTAATAACAAAACATACATAAACGGGCGCGAATTTAAAACAAACGATAGTAAACAAGAACAACACTCACTAAAACCAGGCACAACTGGAAGCAGAGAAAAAGGAATTGACAACAAAGGAACACACATGCATACATACAAACAGAACCCTACCCATGCAAAACCAAAGTGAGCGTATTTATTTCACTTAATATTTTATATACATATGTAAATATGTTTGTTTGAATACGGTTTTATATGACATAAAACCTGTAGCTGTAAATCCGTTTTTACTAATATAAAAAACGATTATCAAACTGGTATAAATTACGGTAAAGATCGAAATACCCTTGACAATAAAACTAGTTTGGTGCAATATATATATCCAAATATATATAATATGTAAATAATCATTGTATGCCTATCAGCTTACCTTTGTGTTTTCAAATACACATATTTCACACACACAAAAACATAATTCAAGTATTTACTTACAAATATTTTCCGGCAATACCCCTTATTTTTAACAAAAACAATAAGCAGGATTGCCTATAATAAGTAAGCAAAGGCACAAACATATAACAAAAATTAAAAGACAAAGAAAAAGCAACAAAATAAATAGAAACATGCATATTTACATATTTATTAAATCAAATTACATATTTACATACACATAAGTGCATACGGAGAATACCTGCACATTATCAATTCCTTTCTCGCGCTCTCTCTCAATTGCGTTAGAAAATAAACATACATACGCACAAACAATCCGTGCATACTTATGTACAAAGTGTATTGATCTCTTCAACGAGCTCTCAATTTCACGAGCGAATAAATATACTCATACAAGTCCGTGTATTAGGGTGTACCGATATACATTAACATAAGGAACTGAAAAATATAATTAAATGTAAAGTGCGGTTTTTTAATCATTAAATTAAATAAAGTTTTGCAAAACAAAAAACAAAAAAACGGTATAAATTATCACATATCGCTACATTGAAATCAGTTTACACTGAAACAATTTTAATCAACTTTGACACATATGGTTAATAACGAAAAAAATCAAACTTCACCTGCAGGAGCTACACGCTCAAAACTGGTTGATAAATTTATTTCAGAAAGTGACAGGTTAACAAGTTACTGCACTAGATTTTCATTTTCACCGATTCAAGACTACTCTGAATTGGTACTTGAAATCAAAATTCAACATCTCGACAATTTTTGAACACGTCTCCAAGCGTCTCATGACGCCTTAGTAGAATCTGACGATTCAGATCTATCACAAAACTTTAAATCATTGGCTTACGCCAAATACGAAAACTTAGAGCAGTACGAAGCTATTGAAGCTATGATCTCCGATCAGTTAAAGCTAATAAAAGCTTTTGCACCTAGTCCACATGCGAGAGTAGAGCGGCCACAAGAACAAAATCATATGGCAAGTTCAGGCATCCACCTCGAGGTGCCCGCATGTGACACAGAAACATTTTATGGAGGTTATGAAAAATGGCCGTCCTTACGGGACATGTTTACAGCCGTCTACATCAACCATCCCAAATTATCAAAAGCGCAAAAATTGTATCACCTCCGATACAAAGCAAAAGGCCAAGCAGGCGCAATAGTAAAATAGTTCGCACTTAATGACGACAATTTCAATTTGGCTTGGGAAGCTCATAAAGCAAGATATGAAAATACCCTATACTGGTAAACATATGCACTGTCGCACTACCAGTAAATTGTTACTTTTGTGGGAGCAATCGCTCTCATCTCGAAAAAAATGCCCAACGTGGCAACAAATGAAAGACTTCCTAACTACACAGTATGAAATCACTGAAAGGGTAGATGAAAAACTAATTAAAACAAAAATTGTTCAACACGACCTAAAAAGAAGCTTCAATAGAACGCAAGCTAGTAGCAAAAACAAATTAAATAAAAGCTTGTACAAAACGCAATCGTTCACAACAATTATTCGTCATGCGAACTATGCACAAGCGAGAAATTCAAAAAAGTAAAAATTAAAGAAAGAAAATATTTGGTGAGTTCAAAAAAATTATGTACAAATTGCTTGTCACATGCGCATAAATATATAAATTGAATAAGCAATTTCAATTGCTTATATTGTCACAAAAGACACCACACAATGCTTCATTACAGCAAGTTTCCCATATCATCCAAAAGCAGCGCTTATGAGAAAAGAACCACGGGTTTAATTGCAAAAGCACATCCCCAAAATCAAAATCCCGAAAATTGCCAAGAAGCACGATGCTGCTCAGAGGCATTAAAAACATAAACGCTACACAGCGAAATTCAAACCAGGGTATTACTACCCACAGCAGTTATCTACATCGAACATCGAGGGGAACTCTATAAAGTTAGAGCCTTAATATATAATAATAAACTGCCATCAAAACAAACAAATTTTGAAATTACGGGAATGGGCAGAAGAGCAGTCCAAAACTCAATAAAATCTGCCCCATAACCCTAATTTCCTTTCAAGCGGGTAAGCGAATTGCAACAGAAGCTATAGTCCTACCACAATTTACTAAAATGCTTCCAAGCTATCACATAAATAGCAAGCATTGGCAAAAGGTTTTGCACCTAAAGCTAGCAGATCCCAACTGCAACACCCCCGGTAAAATAGGTAATCTAATAGGCAGCGATCTTATACCGCAAATAGTACTTGAAGGTGTTGACAAATTATAAACCACCCTTCTAGCCCAAAACAATATATTTAGTTGCATTATAAGTGGACTAGTTACATAACTAGTTTCCACATCAACAATTCAAGTTGACGAAAACTGTAAAGAATACGTTAATCCACAATTCCGTAAATGTTGGGAAATTAAAGAACTTTTCCCTTTATCAGTTACAATCTAAGAAGATCAGTATTGTGAAGACTTTACAAAGCCACAACTACTCGATCAGATAATGATCGGTACGTCGTACGACTACCACTAAATTCACAATGTTCCAACACTCCACGAATTGGCTGAAATAATAAAGTCAAAGTCCCTTCTGACACAGAAGTTTAAAAACACAAATATGTAACTATTCGACCCCGCAGGATGACTCTTGCCAATAATGATATAAAAACCCCACATCAAAAATCTTGAACTATATGGCGCGCTACTACTTGCCAAATTAGTGCATACGCATTTAACATAAAATCGACACCTCCCTTTTACATAATTAAGTATATAATAATTAATATAGTTAAGGGATCACCATACTTTCGATGTGATACTGTGACGCACCCAGACTTAAAAAAAAGCAAAGGTCGCACTAATCGCAACTATCTAAGCGCACGTCATACTGATAGTCTATGAGAAACACTAGTAAAAGTTGTAAATCTTACTTCAAAAAAGTGAGCGAAAATCACAAATGTTACTCTCGCAAGACCTCTTCAAAGGTTTCAAAGGCGCATCCATCCTGGCCACACCTGAGCCAGGCGTGGAATCGCTATCCCTTATGATGTTTATGGAAAAAATAATATTTAAAGGACCTCAACAAGAGGTCAAAGTACGCCAAACCTTGGAGATTGGGTCCTTACTAATAATTCCGTAAAATGTAAAACAAAAAAAGAACAAATACCATGAGTTGTAAAATCAACAACAAATTCAAGTAGAGAGTAGATCAACATGACTACTCCTACAAATCAATAAAATTGCTTACCGCCGTGACGTCCTGGGTACTTTCTTCCATCTTTCATATACATAATATTATACACACATAAACTGATATTTTATAACACAAACTCATTAATTAATAAAGAACTAGCAGCTGATTATGAAATATTTACATAAGATCTTCTACTTGCTTGGTTGTTTGACATCTTCATATTTTCGCTCACGACAATGCTTGGTTTAATTTAAAATATACTTAAATAATAAGATTTATTAGACATTTTAAAGTTTTTATAAATATACGCTACATTATTGTTTTCTTCTCTTGTTTTTAGGCGCTTGATGCTCAACATAGGAAAGCCGTGGCTGATATGATACACGAATTAAGTGACCAGGCTCAATTTATAACTACTACATTTAGACCTGAGCTACTTGAAAATGCTCATAAGTTTTATGGAGTTCGATTTAGAAACAAGGTTAGCCATATAGATTGCGTCACCAAGGAACAAGCAAAAGATTTTGTCGAGGATGATAACACACATGCATAGATTTTGTGAACCACTCGTTTTATCAATAAAAAGGAATTTTTTAAGTATAATTTAATGTTATTTGGATTAGGTAAGGTTAAACCGGCTGGCTGTAATGCCATACATAGTCCTTTGTAGTGCCAGATAGAGGTTTATTAATACGAGCTGAAGTTTACGTCGTGCAGGCCGTCAAGGCTTTTTGCAAAATTTTAATAGAGACCTGACATCTAATATTATACTCCATCCAGTCCCTTTAACTGCGAAGCCTCCAGATATCTAAGTCGTGTTCTAGATAAGGCCGGAGATATACAGAATAGATGTTTCAGCGTCTATGCCATACCTACTTCCCTGCAGTTTCTATTTGTGTCATCGTTAATAATGCCCATACGGCTCGGATATGATGCCAGTAAGTTGTGTCCTGTGACTAGGCCAACAACCTGCAGTCTTTTCGGGAGCGTACGAGTAGAAAGTTTGCGTGTTTTCTTTCTGTTCATTTCATCTCGCCCTAATCCAATTGCTAGCTATTTCGAAAATTTCGTTTAGTATAGTTTTTAACGATTTGCGTATGTCTTGAACTGGTTCGGTAGTCAAGCAGATGGCACCTTTGGCAATCTCATCAGCTATTTTGGACCACCTGTGTGGCCTGGAACCCAGCATATAGTAAATTGCAAGTTTAGGTGCTTTATCTCAAGTTGATCGTGTTTATAACAAAATGTCATTAAAATATCTGTTAAAGAATCAAAAAACCAAACCAGCATCAAAGCCTTAAATCAATTTCTTCAGTTTACCTTTAAGCAAGTTGCCCAAAATTTTACTAAAGTATTTAAGAAAATGGTACCACAAGGAGCAGGTTACTTGATACTAAAATCCAGAGCCTTTTTATTTATTTAATGAAATTGATCAGGTAATTAACTGTTATTAACATGATGAGTTTCTGAAATGCTTGCGTAGTAAGTTAACTAAAAAGTTTCTTAAGCTATTTAGATTTAAGTTGGGTGCAGCTGAACATTTTTTAAACGAAGTTTGTAAGTGTCAAGGGCGTGGACAAATTTTCAAGTGCTTCATATTAAATAAGTGTAAATGACCAAAATAAATATTGCTTTTGTTTATTTAAGTCTGTTTATTCAAAGTTTGTTTATTCAACGTTTGTTTATTTAAATTTTGTTTATTCAAAGTATAAATTTTATTTAACTGAATAATCCTCGCAACTCGCGCTACGTTGCCTGTCCGTTATAATGTTTGATGTCGAAACGTTTTTTCCATTTAGCCCTTTCTATGTTAATTCGTTCGGCCGCTGATTTCAGTCGGAAGTCTTCATGTTGAGTTTTTCCGTCGTTGTCGTCATCTGTGATAGCTTGGATCAATCGATTCGTTGTGACGTCGCGTGGCTTTTAATTGAAAACTAAGCTATTGGGGCTTTGTTTCGTAGTTGCGTTGCTTTGGGAGTTTATGCTCCATTGAAGTTGTGGTAGTGCTTCGTCCCATTCTTTATCGGCTTTAATGCTGCATTTGAGTGATGCCAAAACTGTCTTATTGACACGCTTGGCTTAACCGTTGGCACGGGGCGTGCGCACTGCTACTTTGACATGCTTGATGTCATACCTGTCGGTGAAGCTCTGAAACTCCTTTGATGTGAAAGCTGTGCCCCTGTCGGAAACTATGCGCGTCGGGCACCCATAGATTGTACTGTAATCTCGTAGTGTGCTGACAATGGGAGTTGTTTTCGTATTACGTAATGCTTTTAGTATAACATATTTCGTGAAAGCACACACAATGACCAAGATGTATACATTGCCATGTTTACTTCGTATAAGAGGCCCTAGATGGTCAATATGTATACATCTAAATGGTATTGGCACCACTTCGCTAACATGGAGCTGTGCTTCCTTCTTGCCACCCGATGCTTTGTTAATGCAACATTCTGGACACGATGCAATATAGGATTTCACATACGGTCGCATACGAGCAAACCAAAAGTCTTTGGATAATCGTTCGCATGTCTTATCCAGTCCAAAATGTCCCGCCTCATCGTGACATGCTCTCACTAAACGCCATTTTACGCCTCTCGGGACCACTAGCCTCTTGTTTTCCTGTACTTTGCGATATAACCGCTGACCTTGCCATATATAGTCATCTTTCAGTTGCTGTGCGTTAAATGTTTCTTTGCCGTTTAAAACTTCGATGATTTCTTTTAATGTCTCGTCGTCTTTGCATCGTCGATACCCAATCGTTGTCAATTTTCACCACGGGATAAATTGATTCGGCGATCGTTGTTGGTTCTACTGGTGGAAGCGTTGGACATCTGCTTAACCCATCAGCTATTCTTTGTATCTGCGCGGTGAACGAATTGAAAGTCAAACTCCTGTAATTTGAGCCACCACCTAGCCACTCGCGGTAGCAGTGGTGTTGTCGCTTTAGTGACCGCCACGGCGTTGCAGTCTGTGATTACCTTAAACCTATGTCCAATCAAATACATTCGGTAACGTTGCAGTGTTTCAACTATCGCCAGAACTTCTAATTCGTGGCTAGCGTCGTTGCGTTCTGCGTCATTACACTGTCTGCTGAAATAGAATACAGGTTTCCACTCGGACCCCTCGTCGTTCTGCATTAGCACTCCGAATAACCCTGCGGAACTGGCATCCGTGTGCACCTCGTGGGCTTTTGTTGCGTCGTATGTAGTTAAGACTGGCTTGGTTGTTATTAGACTTTTAAGCTTTTCAAATGCGTCGTTTTGTTCTTCATTCCAAACAAACTCTGCGTTCTTCTTTAGTAACAATGTCAATGGTTGTGCCAAAATGCTGTACCCTTTAACAAACTTCCGGAAGTAACCAGTTATACCCATAAATTGTCGTACGGCTTTTGTTGTTGTTCTTCATTCCAAACAAACTCTGCGTTCTTCTTTAGTAACAATGTCAATGGTTGTGCCAAAATGCTGTACCCTTTAACAAACTTCCGGAAGTAACCAGTTATACCCAGAAATTGTCGTACGGCTTTTGTTGTTGTTGGTTTCGGAAACTTTTCAATTACTTTGGTTTTGATTTCCCCTGGTCGTAAGCCTTTACTGTCTATATCATGCCCCAGGAAACGTACATGCTGCGCTAAAAATGTACATTTGGATGGTCTAAGCGTAAGACCTGACGCTTTTACGGCTTCAAGAAATTCTTTAAGTACCTCGATACCTTCGTCGACTGTTTTTGTGGCTATGATGACCTCATCTACATAGTTGACCACTTTGTCGGGATGCTTAAGTGTCTTGATTAAATTGACAATAATTTCCTGGAAAACCATGGGAGCGTTTACCAACCCAAAAGGCATAACGTTATGCTCGAACAATCCGTCAGGTGTTAAAAATGCTGTGAATTTCTTTGATTCTTCGTTCATTGGTACTTGATAGTAAACGGATGTCATGTCCAGTGTTGAAGAGAACTTAATTCCCGATAACCGTGAAAGTTGCTCTTCGACTATCGGCATTACATAGTTTTTCTTAACAGTGACTTCATTGAGTGCTCGGTAGTCAATACACATTCGACTTTCGCCGTTGGACTTCTTCACTAAGAGAACTGATGCTTCGTGTGGTGAATTACTCGGACGGATGATGTCGTTGTCTAGCAGTTCCTTTAAAATCTTTGATAAAATTGGTCGCTGTGAGAACGGAACTTGATAACGTTTGCCCAGAATAGGCCCTGGTACAGTAACTTCTATCGTCATATGCGCGTTGTTACATCTACCGATTTGGTTGATACTTTCTGCAAAACAATTTGTATAAGTCAACAAAATATTCATTGCCTTGCTTCGTTCCTGCTCCGATAAAACGCTGGATACGTTAAGGTCTACCCTTTTAGCTTCTTGCAGATGTAGCACCCCCTTTCCATTTACCATTTGATAACCGTTACTTTGTAGAACGTCTCGACCCACTAAAATATCGTAGGGTAATAACTCGTCCTGAACTAGGTATAGTGTCACTTCATGTTTGACGTTGTCGATTGTTGCAACTACGTTGACCTGACGTGTCACCTTTACTGTGGACCCGCCGAAACCCATGAAGCATCTGTTAGCTTCCTGAGTCTGCATCCCGTTGGCTGCCGTTTCCCTTATCAACGAGCATACGCTGCCCGTATCGATGAACGCTTCAAATTTATTCCCATTAAGCTCCACTATTTTCACAACTGGGGGAGCCCCGTCGTCTGCCTGGTGATTGGTAATCTGTGCAACTGATGCCTTTTTACTGCATGGTTTAGCTTCATGACCCATTTTTGAACATATCGAGCATCGTAGTTTCCGTTGTGGTTGCGGGCACTTGGCTGCCATGTGTCCCAACTCGTTGCAATTGAAGCACTTTATATGTGTGTACTTCCCATTGTATTTAAGCCAACGTTTGGCCATGCATTTCATTTTGTGTTGCACTGCGATCAAAACTCTGGTTTCCTTCCAGCCGTAGCATTGTTGCAATTGTTCAGTTCGCGTTATAAATTGTGTTGCTGACGTTGAACCTTTTATTGGGTCGAATTCAGGCATAATCCCTATAGTGTCCTGAATCGACATCTCTCGCTGTATTGGTCTTCTTAAATCATGAGCTGATTCCCAAGTTGATACACTTGACCCTGGTTACTCTAAGTTGTTGTTGTTTGCCGCTTGTTGAATTTCCTCCCTATTCGGTACCGCTGTTGAATTTTGGGTGATCGCTACCATAGCTGACGTTAAACCTGCGATTGCTTCTTTTAAACTGTTGAGTTGCACTTGTAGATCACTTGTACTCTTCAGTACCTGGCTCTCTCTTCTTACCAGATGCTTGCACCCGCTATTACGTTGTGTGTGTATTTCTCTTAAAATTTTATCCGTTAACTCGCTGATGTAGTGACGTTGAATTGGCGTCGTTTCGTCGCTTCGGTTCACAACTTCGTAGCAGCGCAGTTGACATTTTATAAGCAGATACGCTCGCGACGCCCGTTGCACGTTCGAGCTTGCTAATTTTCTGCTGCTTAATCACATGCAAAGTTACAAGTCATTCTGTCAATTAATTATTTTTTTACAAGCCATCGAAGTTGACGTGTCAGAGTATTTTTTATGGAAAAATTTTATTGCGCGCAGTGATTAGATTCTTTGTTTTAAAAGGTTTAAAAGCAAAGGAAGTTTATGAACAGGTGTTAGAAGTGTAAAAGGAGTCCTCACCTTCAAAACTCACCGTTGAATTTAGGGCTGGTGAATTTAAACGTGGTCGTACTAGGCTTGAAGACGAACCACGCAAAGGACGACGAAAAACCTCAACCACACTAAAAATCATTGAACAAGTTCATAATATTGTTAGTGAAGATCCAAGTTTGACTAAGCTAATGCTAAAGGCATCTCAGACGAACGAGTACTTCATATTTTACATGGAGAATTACATATGAAAAAGCTGTTTGGAAAGCTAATGCCGCACACGTTAACAATTCAACAAAAACTGGATCGAAAACAAATTTCTCAGCATAATTTGGAGCGTTTTAAGCAGAATAAAACCGATTTTTTGCGTCGTTTTATAACTATGGATGAAACTTGGATCTACCACCATGATCCTAAATTGAACCAAGAATGTTTGCAGTGGACTAAAGCTGGTTGTTCAGCTCCAAAGCAGGTGAAGTCACAACGATCAGCAAAGATCGATCAATCAGTTTTTTGGGATGCAAAAGGAATTTTGTTGATTGATTATCTGCAGAAAGGTTAAACAATCAACTCTGAATTTTATTGCAGCCTTCTGGATCAGCTGGATGAAAAAATTCGTGAGAAAAGACTCATCAAGACAATGCACCTGCTCACAAAGATGTTTTAACAATGACAAAATACAACGAATTAAAGTACAAATTGCTTGAGCATCCACCGTATTCACCAGATTTGGCTCCCAGCGACTACTACCTCTTAAGAAACCTGAAACAATTCCTTCGTGGAAAGTGTTTTTCGTCGAATGAAGAAGCTATTACAGCCGTAGACGGGTATTTTACAGAGCTTCCTTAAAGTCATTATAGGGATGGCATAAAATTATTGGAGGATAATTGGATTAAGCGTTTTGAATTTAATTTAATAAATTTAAATTTGAGGTTATGTAAATATATTCAACAGTTATAGATCTTTTCAT